AGCTTTAAGCGATGTTTCATTGATAGTAAGTTCGGAGTATGGCTTTAGTTGACACTTCGGTATTATGCCGGTGGTTTTTATTGATATGACGACATGCTTGATATCTATCAAAAGTATTGTACCAACGTCTTGATGTCAGGAAATACCCTACTACCGTGCGTAAGGTCGTTTTGTATATTCTGTTTCATTAAATCTACTTCATAAGCAAACGTTACACTTATCTTTTTGACAGATATTCACAACTGAACTGCTTTGAATATGATGTTAAAATGCGGTTTTTGGTTTTCTTTGCCGCCCCTTTACAAAAAAGTATTTCATTTCGAATATAAAAGTCAAAAGAAAACAAAATAAGAAAATAGAAATCATATAAAAAATTAATCAAAAGAAGAAAACAAAACAACTAAATTAATAAATTTGGCGGCCCAGTATTTTGGTTGAGTCATTTACGCCTAATACCATGGATTTTGTGTAAAGATTTTGTAAACAGAGCTTTGCTGCATGTTTGGTAGTTAAAGCGTTTTCACCTCACAGCTGTTTTGGAGGAACCTGGGAAGATTTGAAGGACAAAAATAAAAGATATCCGGACTGGTGCCCTATGTAGTGTCGGGAACATTTACCTTTCGGAAGCATTGATCCGATTTTTGTTGGGTTAATTGGATGTCTCTCGTTCTGTTTTGTAAACATTTTCCTATTTACTTTTGTTTATTTCTCGACGTTTCTGAGGTTCCAACGCCCAGCTGTCTTTGTTGTATTCTTCTTAAACTTTATTTGACGATTACAGTGATTATGGCCGTACAATATGATGACTGCTGTTTATTGTCGTAGACGCGTTTAAGGATTGTATATCTGTTATTGATGAAGTCCCTGTTAACCTTCCGTATCAAGTGTACATCTCGACCTATTGTTCTGACTCTCATCAATTGTTCCTAATAATGGACATTTAACAATAATCTATAATACCTTGATCAACCATTTTATCACTTGACGTACTGTGTCTCATACATTGACATTTTTTTCCAACTCTCCGCACTTCTGTACTTACGTGTAACTATGCTTTGTAGTTTTACTAAACGTACATAACAACTTTAAGATCAGTACTTTGCAAATTGACAAACTATGTTTCACAAAGTGATGTACTTTCTCTTAGATGCTACCACTGACACAGGTGGTTTTCAGGAGTACGTTTCACACTAGCTATGTTAGCGACGGTCGAAAGCTCTTCTGATCCTTCCGTACCTGATTGTCTGAGATAGGCTGAGCCACAGGAGTCTCGAGAGCGCGTGCAATTACATAACATGACGGGATGCATTTTCTTCACACATATTTACTTAAACGTCAGTAAAGCGCTTACGGTATCTACATAAAGCAGCTAACGACAGTCGTGTGTCTACCATTCCTCTCAACCTACGGACAGTTAACACTGACCCAGGACGTTTAAGCTTCCATGAATAATGCTGACTTTTTAGTACACAAATTCGAATCCTTATCATCCTCTCGTTTGCATGGATAAGCAAGCCGATTACCTCTGTAGGACTATACAGGAGAAACCATTACGACCGCTGAGTGTGTGATTGAGAGAGTTATCAGAATTCATGAGACTTGTTTGCTATAACGCACTAGCATGCTACACCATAGGAAGATCACTGCATCACTGTATAAGGTTTTATAATAACGTTCCCATGCATACATTTCCTCTATTCAAATCAGGTATGCATGTGTTTGTACATTTCCTTTGGTTTGCGTATTGACGAGCAGCAATATTGATATCAGTTTCAGTGACGGTTGTGTGTTTGTATAAGCCCCGTTTCGATGACGTGTGTATGTAATCTCTGGTTTGATGACATATGTGCATGAACCTCCGTTTTGATGACGTGTGTGCATGGCTGAAGTCTGATACGCCGTTTAATGACGTATGTACATGAATGTGTGTGAGCCCCACATTTGATGACGTCTGTATGATACCCCGTTTGGTGACGTGTGTATAGCACTATTTAAATTACCTAAATGTATTGTATTGCTCGAGTCAAGATAACAGGTAATCCGCTAAATGTCAAAATGAGTGAGAAATGAATTTATGAACATAAAAGTCTTACAAAATCTCCAACATAAACTCCAGCAGGCGACCGATCAGTATTTCGGAGTCTGCGATCGTGGTCAGTATTAGCAGACAACAGCGGACGGGTACATGTAACAGTGCTGGTTCTTTTGTTTGTGTAATGTTTGTTATATTACAGTAAATAGTTCTACTGAAGACTTCTGACTTCGATGATGGTATAATTATTATATGAGTTACAAACACCTTTCAATTTGAACATTTCCAAAAGGCACCACGCTTACCGAGTGACTTGTATAAAATCAATTGAGAATAATTCTACCAGCATGATAACTCACCGGCGAGACTTATCATTGGTTCATTTTCGTATAATTTATTCTGAGTTCGCAAAATGACGTTTCAGTTTTTGTGTGGTCAAATATTATCATATATTTTATTTTAAACAATGAGAACTCATTCAACATGTTCACCATACATTGCTTGTGTATCCAATGCTTTCAAATTTCCCTTTATATAAACGTTAAAATGTGTTATGAAATGATATAATGTTAGTTACGTGGCGATTTTGACTATGTTTTACCTCTGTTTTGGTAACGTTTATATGTGCTAGATAACGATTTATTGTTAGTAACGTGTCGATTTTGACTGTATTTTACTTCCGTTTTAGTGACGTTAATATGTACCAGGTAACGATTTAGTGTGTGTTACGTAGCGATTTTGACTATGTTTTACCTCTGTTTTAGTGACGTTTATAGGTGTTTGGTAATGATTTAGTGTGCGTTACGTGGCGATTTTGACTATGTTTTCCCACTGTTTTAGTGACGTTTATATGTGCTTGGTAATGATTTAGTGTGTGTTACGTGGCGATTTTGACTTTGTTTTACCACTGTTTTAGTGACGTTTATATGTATTTGGTAACTATTTAGTGTGTGTTACGTGGCGATTTTGCCTATGTTTTACCACTGTTTTAGTGACGTTTATATGTATTTGGTAACGATTTAGAGTGTGTTACGTAGCGATTTTGACTATGTTTTACCTCTGTTTTAGGTACGTTTATAGGTGTTTGGTAATGATTTAGTGTGCGTTACGTGGCGATTTTGACTATGTTTTCCCACTGTTTTAGTGACGTTTATATGTATTTGGTAACTATTTAGTGTGTGTTACGTGGCGATTTTGACTTTGTTTTACCACTGTTTTAGTGACGTTTATATGTATTTGGTAACGATTTAGTGTGTGTTACGTAGCGATTCTGACAATGTTTTACCTCTGTTTTAGTGACGTTTATAGGTGTTTGGTAATGATTTAGTGTGTGTTACGTGGCGATTTTGACTAGGTTTTACCTCTGTTTTAGTGACGTTTATATGTGTTTGGTAATGATTTAGTGTGTGTTACGTGGCGATTTTGACTTTGTTTTACCACTGTTTTAGTGACGTTTATATGTGCTTGGTAACGATTTAGTGTGTATTACGTGGCGATTTTGACTATGTTTTACCACTGTTTTAGTGACGTTTATATGTGCTTGGTAACGATTTAGTGTGTATTACGTGGCGATTTTGACTATGTTTTACCTCTGTTCTAGTGACATTTATATGTGCTTGGTAATGATTTAGTGTGTGTTACGTAGCGATTTTGACTATGTTTTACCTCTGTTTTAGGTACGTTTATAGGTGTTTGGTAATGATTTAGTGTGCGTTACGTGGCGATTTTGACTATGTTTAACCTCTGTTTTAGTGACGTTTATATGTGCTTGGTAACGATTTAGTGTGTATTACGTGGCGATTTTGACTATGTTTTCCCACTGTTTTAGTGACGTTTATATGTATTGGGTAACGATTTAGTGTGTGTTACGTAGCGATTTTGGCTATGTTTTACCTCTGTTTTAGTGACATTTATATGTGCTTGGTAATGACTTAGTGTGTGTTACGTAGCGATTTTGACAATGTTTTGCCTCTGTTTTAGTGACGTTTATATGTGCTTGGTAATGATTTAGTATGTGTTACGTAGCGATTTTGACTATGTTTTCCCTCTGTTTTAGTGACGTTTATATGTGCTTGGTAATGATTTAGTGTGTGTTACGTAGCGATTTTGGCTATGTTTTACCTCTGTTTTAGTGACATTTATATGTGCTTGGTAATGACTTAGTGTGTGTTACGTAGCGATTTTGGCTATGTTTTACCTCTGTTTTAGTGACATTTATATGTGCTTGGTAATGACTTAGTGTGTGTTACGTAGCGATTTTGACTATGTTTTACCTCTGTTCTAGTGACATTTATATGTGCTTGGTAATGATTTAGTATGTGTTACGTAGCGATTTTGACTATGTTTTACCACTGTTTTAGTGACGTTTATATGTATTGGGTAACGATTTAGTGTGTGTTACGTAGCGATTTTGACTATGTTTTACCTCTATTTTGGTGACGTTTATAGGTGTTTGGTAATGATTTAGTGTGTGTTACGTGGCGATTTTGACTATGTTTTACCACTGTTTTAGTGACGTTTATATGTATTTGGTAACGATTTAGTGTGTGTTACGTGGCGATTTTGACTATGTTTTACCTCTGTTTTAGCGACGTTTATATGTGTTTGGTAATGATTTAGTGTGTGTTACGTGGCGATTTTGACTATGTTTTACCTCTGTTTTAGCGACGTTTATATGTGTTTGGTAATGATTTAGTGTGTGTTACGTAGCGATTTTGACTATGTTTTACCTCTGTTTTAGTGACGTTTATATGTGTTTGGTAATGATTTAGTGTGTGTTACGTGGCGATTTTGACTTTGTTTTACCACTGTTTTAGTGACGTTTATATGTGCTTGGTAACGATTTAGTGTGTGTTACGTGGCGATTTTGACTGTGTTTTACCTCTGTTTTAGTGACGTTTATATGTGCTTGGTAATGATTTAGTGTGAGTAACGTGTCGAGTTTGACCGTATTTTACCTCTGTTTTAGTGACGTTCGTGTGTATTCCGATGACACTTGCCCAGAAGATCTACCCGTTGTGGATATATGGAGAAATGCTGTGTAAATTGACTCCGTATCTCCAAGGTAAGGACATTTTCCCGTACTTTCACCTGTCAAATTATATCACGTCCAACCTCCCAGAGTTGTTCTGGCGGAGCCATCAAGGAGTCACACTCTTTACATAAAATCTGCATATATTTGCATCCTTTCGTTATTTCCAATTACTGATAATGCCGTTTTATACGCCAGAAACAACGGCTTTAGCTGTAATAAAAAACCTATTCGTTACAACTCAAATGGAATTGTCAGGGTAATTTATCGGCGCCATTATAGCCGCTGTATAGAGTACAGCATTATAAATCCTCTTGTTTTCTGTTGAGAATATATGAAAAAACCTATCAGTGAAGCAACTTGTACTTTAGAGTTATTCTCAAAAGAAAAACTTAGATTGTCTCTTGATCTCGTAGGACAGGCCGTGCCTACTCGCTATTCACCTTCTGTACAACATTTCCATTTTTAAGTAATGTCAATTGCACGGAAATAAAGTAATTGTTAAACCTCGGCGTAGCCATTAAAATCACTGTTTATACATGTACCTTGTCTTACAGTGGTATGTTTCCCCAAAGACTTCCCTCCTGCTTAACGCTCAGCAATTTAGGAGTGAGCCAACTGGTTCGCCCGTTGTCAGTATAATGTGATCGGGTGGAGTGTCCTGCTGGCTGTCTTCAGCTATCACAAGGAGACAAACACGAACATATCGCAGTCTCCCAAAACACACACGAATACACTACACACATGCATCTTGCACACAGTTCATCATAGCTGTTGATAGAACGTTAAACAATACTAAACCAAACCAAACCAAACCCCAAAGATTTCCGCATTAAAGTCAGTGAAGAAATTGATTTTAACAGATGTCTATTTTGATGAAACAATTATATGAATGAAAAGGTCAAAATATAGACAACGCTAAGAGGTATCAGAATATTTTACATTAAGATTTACTGGAGTCATCAAACATGTTATGTCGCGTTGATATCCCAGTCGATTCATTCGCCATATTTTAAATTATCACATCATCGTCATTGATTGGGTAATCAAGTAATAAACAGAGGTCTGGTAATTTGCGCATGCGTGGTTTAGAGGCACTGAGCACAGGGTGAAGGTTCGCATGTAAGATATACAAAATATACTCATACAATGCATTCGAAGTCTTTGATATATTTCATTATTTGTCCAACACGCGGTACTAATTGACAACTCTGAAAACTCCGGAAACATTACGTCGTGTCTTCATTGAAATCCAAACTTAAGGCCATCGTACTGCCAATGTAGACATTTGGTAAACTAGCTTTATGTTGTTTTATTCGTCACAAATTATTTGTGTCATCGGTCCTGCGTTACATGTCTGAACTAAGGTCATTAAAGGAACTCCATTTGTGAAATATGTGCATGTATGTGCCTCCTTGTGATAGCGCGGATCTAAAGCTGACTTTATAGTGCTATCTCACTGAAATACCACACCCAATGACCCAGCACAGTATTCCGCCCGATCACATTATACTGACAACGGGTGAACCAGTTGTTACTGAACGTTAGGCAGGGAATCACAACTACCAGTTTAAAGACTTTAGTATGTCCCGGCTTGTGAAGGGAAGCCATTGCCTACCCTCTCTTGGGCGAACGTTTAACACTGTCCCGACTTGTGAAGGGAAGCCATTGCCTACCCCCTCTTGGGCGAACGTTTAACACTGTCCCGACTTGTGAAGGGAAGCCATTGCCTACCCCCTCTTGGGCGAACGTTTAACACTGTCCCGACTTGTGAAGGGAAGCCATTGCCTACCCCCTCTTGGGCGAACGTTTAACACTGTCCCGACTTGTGAAGGGAAGCCATTGCCTACCCCCTCTTGGGCGAACGTTTAACACTGTCCCGACTTGTGAAGGGAGGCCATTGCCTACCCCCTCTTGGGCGAACGTTTAACACTGTCCCGACTTGTGAAGGGAAGCCATTGCCTACCCCCTCTTTAGCGAACGTTTGACACCAAGGCCAAAAGCGAGGTCTCGCCAACCTCGGTTTAGGAAACAAAATGTTGGTAGGAAGAACAGAAAAAATTACGAAGCCCCTAACATTGCAATTAGGAGGCAGCAGCTCTATGTCGGTTTCTTCAATATCCACAATAAAAAAAATCTGCAGCCCCCCTTCCGCCACCTGCTTTTTCAGCCCCCCTTCCCCCACCCACCTAGTCGCTTTTTACAAAATGCATTGGGATACGGAAAACCTATGCTCCCCGAATCTGCTAGAAATCCGATGTAAATAGTGAATTTTTATATAGAATATGTATTTAAGACAAAATTTAGGTCTTTGGACGGTTTTTATCTCTACAAACGACCATTTTAACACTCCATCATCTCAAGGATAATATTTGACAGATGTATGAAATCTGAAGGTCGACCATCTAGACATTGCTTCAGTGTTGAAGTGGCGCGTTTGTTACGATCACGTAATGATTACGCGTTGAAAGTGTTTAAGTGTTATATATGTTGTTCATCAACACAGGGTTTATTTTAAAACTAAGATTAACCTTTAAAGAGTAATTAGACGAAGAGCCACTGTTGAGTGAGGATCACCACAGCACACTCCGTAAGCTCTATACCAGCTGGTTGACCCATTTTAACATTTTAGTTTAATAAATGGGTTTCTCTGAACTGGTTAAACATTACACATATTCTGTTGAAAGAACCTTTTATTTTTTCAAATCGAATTTATGATATTGGTTAAGGATAAGTGCCGAACTAAATTATTTGGTAGGTCCTTGAATATCCGGTTAGTGATATGTACCCTTTAGGCTATTCTGTAGGTCATTCGCAGGGGGGTGGATAGGCCGCAAGATATGTGTAAGGCTCCCAGCGGGTCCTGGGCAGAGCAAAGCCCTTGTTGGCGGATCGGGAGGCAACCCCC